CGCTGGGGGCTGCCGTGGCCCCGCTCCTCCGGTGCTCGGCGCTGTAGGTACTCGCGGCGCTGTCGGGCCTCGCGACGCAGCTGGGGAAGCAAAGAACCAGGCGGGTGTCACCCGTGGACTGTGGGAGACAGATCATCCCCTGCCCCTGCCCCTCACCCCCAGGTGCGACCCTACAATAATCAACAGATCCTTACCATGGTGCTGGCTTTTCCTCTCCGGCTCTTTTCCTCCACGTGGGAGCCCAACACCGCTGCCTCCGATTGATCGAGCTCTTGGGACCAATCAGAGAGCAGAAGGCTACCTAGCGGCGCCAACAGCCAAGCAGGGCCATGGTGTGCCCTGAACAAAGATGGCGCATAGGAAATGTGACTGATGGAGAGGATTCAGGGCAGTGTGCCCTAAACAAAGATGGCGGAAAGGGAACAGAGACTGACGAGCCCCTCACAAGAATGGTGGCCTTTGCCCTCAGCTAAGATGGTCGCCAACGGGGACCCAATTGGGCTCGTTTCGCTCCTCCTGGCCCGCCCCGCCCCCAAGAAGGCGGCAGTGGATTCGAACCCGCCGAGAGCAACCGGCCAATGAGAGCTGGCAGTGCTACTCGCTGTGCGCCTTGATTGGTGAGGCCCCGCTAGAGCTGGTTTCTGGCTGGCTACAGCTGGGGAACCCCCAGTCCGACCTGAAGCCGCGCCGGGATGGATTTCCGGGATTCAGTCCGGGTGCGGGGACGATGTCGGAGGCGGCGGTGGAGGAGGGGCGATGCTCTGCGGGGCCGGGGCCTGGGCCTGGGCCTGTCCCTGTCCCTATTCCGGGGCTGCGGTGGGAGCTGGATGCGCTCGTGTTGGAGCTTCTGGACACCCTGGAGGCGCTTCGGGAGCGGCGGGAGGCGCTGAGCGGCCGCGTGGAGCAGGTAGGGTCGAGACCACCCCTCCCCCCCCTTTCCGGTGCCTCTCACTCTCGACCTGCCCTTCCTCTAACCCCTATCTGCCCCCGCCAGGGCTGGTTCTCGCTGTCCAAGGCCCGGTTCTCCATGGGCTGCAAGTCGGTGTCGGCCCTGCAGTACGGAGCCCAGATGGAGCCGCACGTTCGCGTGTGTGTCAGGTGGGTCGGGAGCGAGGGGCACCGATGCCCGGGTTTTCTGCCAGGGTGCTGCTGCCTATCTCCCTCAACGCCCCCTCCCTCCCCAGCGAGGGGCCAGATGGGCACCTCAACTTCCAGATCGTTCGTGATGATTTGGGTGCCCCCAAAGTGGCTGCGGAGCCACTGCATGTGGAGGAGATTGGACCCCAGGATCAGGAGGAGGTGACAGGTAACGGGGGGAGGGTTGTGGGTCAGGAGTGAGGAGCACCATGAGAGGATGGGGGGGGTGCTGTGAGTTGGGAGTGAGGGGCACCATGATCCTGTCATGTCCTTCCCCAGGGCTGCGGCACCGAGGGAGGCGACCAGCGGGGGAGGCTGAGGCCCTCCAAAGGCCGGGGCCAGTGAAGGGGCCTGGAGGCCGTGACCCCCTCACCTGGTTCGGGATCCTGGTGCCTCAGAGCTTGCGGCAGGCACAGCGCAGCTTCCAGGAGGGTGAGTGACCACCCACAGCAGCATTCAGCCTCTCTCAGGACAGGATTAAGCCCC